GGATGGGGAAGGAAGGCCTCAGGATGGATGGGGAAGGTGTCGGGATCGCCCTCCCATGAGGGAGGCCTGGGCACTGGGGGTGGGAGATGGGAACCCGTTGAATGAGGTTCAGGGGTTCTTGGGGGATGATCTGGGTTCAGGAGGCAGGGACTGTGGATTGGGCAGAGGTTGAGAGGGAAGAAGGGACCTGAGGGTGGGACAAAGAAGGTGGTGTCAGGAGTGGGTCAGTGAATCGTGGAATCACAGGATGGCCGGGGTTGGAAGGGAGCTCTGGAGATCATCTAGTCCAGCCCCCTGCTAGAGTAGGATCCCTAAGGCAGATTACACAGGAACACGTCCAGGTGGGTATTGAATGGAGGGTGAAGAGGGAAGGCTGGCAGGTCAGGTTTGGGAGAGGGGGCAGAGACCTTGGAGCCAGGTGAGAGGGTCTGGGGTGGAAAGGGGGAAGCCAGGGGTGGTGAGGGGGGTTTGTGGGCCGGGTTGGGAGGCTGGGGAGCAAGGAAGGGGTAGCAGTTGGAGGAGCTGGTGCCATGGAAGGGCACAGCGAGGGGTGGGGGCGACCCAGCTTTTGCCTCTCCCCTGCTCTGCCTGCGTGAGGCCTTGAGTGCCTTGTCCACCCCAGGGAGCCCAGCAAGGACTTGCTCGTGTCCAGGCTGGAGGTGGTGACCCTGCCCTCCCGCCTGCCTGGGGACCTGCCTGTCAGGAGCTGTGCCCAGGAGCTCCAGCTGCCTGTTCATGAGTGGCCACACACGGGACCTGTGGGGCAGTTTGACGTGGGTGTGGTGGCATCGTTCGGACGTCTCCTGAGTGAGGAGCTTATTCTGCAGTTCCCATAGTGAGTGAGTTGACAGGACATCTATTGGTACTTCCTTAGCAAAGCTGGACTGTTTTTTGAGTCAGCCCCTGTGACTTGTAGCAGATGAGGTCAGCTTTTTTCCTGGATACATCTGCTTAGCCTGAGCCCTACTTCTGTTGTTGTGAGGATCACTCTTGGTTTTTAGCATGTTGATATGTGCAAATATTCAGCACAGGGTGTTTGCCTTTATTCCTCTCATCTCCATTTCTGTGTTCACTGGGAAACAGAACGTTATGTAGTGTGAGTTTTCCTTTAAATATACATTTAAACCAGTAATGCTTCAGATAGTCTGAGGAGCTAATTCTTAAAGAGTTAAGAATTAATTTATTTCAGCATAATAAATGTTGCACAACTATTTACATATACTTTGGGTACTGCTACTATTCTAACTTTAAAATATTTCAATTCAGTGGGGTGCTGAACATCCATCCCAGCTGTCTGCCACGGTGGAGGGGTCCTGCACCAATCATCTACACAGTGCTTCATGGGGATACAGTGACTGGGGTGACAATTATGGAAATAAGACCAAAAAGGTAGGTTAGATGTGCTTCCCAAAACAACTCACTGCTGCTGTTGCCTCTCAGGTTTTCAAATCATCACCACTTAAGTCCTTACTTAAGTAATTCTAGGTAATCACTATTTTTTTAATGCGTGTTGGTGTTTAATATTGAAATTTGAAACTTAGAAACTTTCTACTGACCATGTGAGACTTCCCACAAACACAGTATTTTAGTGATTTGTACTCTAGACTCTCTTAGCATTATTACAGGGAGCAGGCAGAATGCAAACACACAGCTAGATGGGTGGACAGGCCTGGTTTTCAGACTTTAGTCTCACCTGTTACCTCCTCAAAGTGAAGCAGAAGCCTGTTCAGGGATGAGAGAGAGTGTATGTTTTAGTTTCAGCACAAACTGTGGCTTAAGAAGCTTGTGAAAACACGTCATGGTTGTCTTCTATTTTATAGATACTAATTGTCTGATAATAGATCTCAGGAAAGGGCAAAACAATTTTATTTTTTTTTTTCTGAATACTTTGGGTTAATTTTTTCTGAAATCTTGTGCTTCTGAGCTGTAAATTTTGCATTTGTAACATTCTCAGCTTGCAAAGATGAATCTTGCTTCCCAAGATGCAGCTGATGTTCTTTTCTCTGTCTTGTCTTGTGAGCCAAACACTGTTTGATCACGAGGAAAAATAACATTTTAGAGGGGGGAAAAAAAAGGATAATTGGTAACTGAGTCAGTGTATTGAATGCAGACTTTGAAACTGCTAATTGAGTTAAGGGTTCTCCAGTGAGCTGGTGTGTTTTGTGTCTCACAGGTTTGATGTAGGTCCAATCATTAAGCAGGAAGAGTTTGCAGTCCCTCCCCGCTGCACCGCAAAGGAGCTGGAGGTGATGTTATCCAAGATGGGTGCAGACATGGTAAGAGGATGCAAGCCAGTGCCTCTTCAGATCAGTACCTTGCTTTTAGCACCCATGGAACTCTTCCTAATCTTGTTCTGAGTTGAGTGCAACTGTTGAGAGGGGAGTGAGCTGAAACTTAGTGTTTGTGAGCACTTTGCCATGCTGAGAGGGGAGCTGAGCAGCGTGTGATGAGCTGGCAGTGCTGCTCTGTGTGCTGCTGTTCTGCTTCTGCTCATTGAAGAACTCGAGTGCTTTGGGTGGAAACAGTGCAGGTTTTTCTTCCGTTGAAATGAATATCTGCTTTTGGTCTTCCTAAGCAGCTTTAATTCTGACATAGGATTAATAACAGTAAAGAGATCATTTATAAAATAACGCTTTTTTAGAGTTGTGGTTCAGGGGGAAGGATATCTTGGGTGTGTGTATGATACAGGTCCTCAGAGTATACTGACACAATTTTCTAAAAGCTCACAAGAAAGTTTCACTGATTTAAAAATTAAGCACTGTAGTTGTATATCTTGGATTTACTGTTAATAACTGTACTCTACTTACCTTTGCTCATGCTCTGTACAAACTCTGATTTTGCAGCTGATAGCAGTTTTGAAAAACTTGCCTGAAAGTTTAAAAAATAAAAAAGAACAACCAAAAGAAGGAGTCACTTTTGGTAAGTACACATCATCTTGAATAGAATTTGGTCTTTTTTGTTTTATCAGCTGGAAAACTAAGTTTTTTCCTACTGTGCTGGGTTATATATATATATATTAGATAATTTTCTCAATGTGACCTCTTCACTGCTTTTTCTGGCTTAAAGTCATACAGAGGGAAAATGCTTTACAATATTTCAGATTTACTACATCAGTTGTTCTTTTTTTCCAGTTGTCTGTACAATATCAAAATTACTAATGATATCACAAAATCTGAGTGAGTTTGTTACTCTTCATGGTTGTAACACAGACAGAAGTGTTACAGCTGTGCTTGTAAATATGTGTTATCAGTTTGTGGTGAAGTAGGTAAATAAGGCAACTGAGAATAAAGTATAAACAATCCAAATGGAGGTTTTAATAAAATCTTTTCTCCAGTTATTGTCTAAGGCACCCTGTGACTTGATGGTAAACCTGCCATTGATCAGGAGAACATCAGGTTTAAAATAGGATGAAGTAATACAGATACTTGTTTGCAAAAAGATGCAAAACAACACATGAAGTCTTCTCGTTTCATTTTTTTCCTCCCAGCTCCTAAAATATCTATAGAAAAGAGTTGTATAAAATGGGAAGATCAAACAGCTGCACAGATAATTCAGCTGCATCGTGCAATAGGAAGTATGGTAAGATGCTGGCATTTTTTTAGCCCTTTTCTATCCCTTAGCATGTCTGGGTATGGTGTAGATATTTTAACTAATGACTAAAGCTCAAGTTTAATTGTTTTAGCCACTAAAACCTAGTGGTGCTTTTAAACCCCAGATTAGTTTAGTGTTAGAGATGGAATTAGAGCAGAGGAGAATTTTCTTGAACTTGATCCCAAGTGTGGAATCAGCTCAGTGGTTTTGGTTCCTTGGCTCTGAGCTTTCCACTGATACATTTGAGAGGGTTTCAGGACACTCTGATGACATCTTTGCATGACATGCACCTAAGCAGCCACTGTAACTGGCTGCTTAACTCATTACTGCATATGCTAATGGTTTTCTTGTCAATGAGATGAGGAAGAGCAAGGAAAGTTGGATAGAATCAGGAATAAGGAAACTATTATCTGGGCATATACCTAAATTTTCCTATAATTTGCATAAGAAAAAAACCCTAGACACTTGTCTGGAAATTATGAGAACATTATCAATGTATCATCTACTTCTGTTTCCAGTTTCCTTTACAGACACTCTGGAAGGATACTACTGTTAAACTTCTGGATTTTGTGGAAGTGGATAATATCCTTGATGTTGCTGGTATTTACTTTCAAATCAATCTGTTAAGTTAAATTTTCCTGTCTTCAAACACTGACTTGAAGATGGTAACCAGTTGTGCTAAACAATAGCTCTGAGTACTTAATTCTGAAACTTGAGCTAAGTCAGTCTTTGTGATGGTGTCAAGTGAGCAGTAGGTCCTGAGAGTGGAGGTTTTTAATCCTCCAAGTGTTTTGAGGGTCTCAGGAGGAAAAGCTGTCCTTGGGTATTATCACTTAAACCACTTTCTGTCATAGCCTGTGAGTCTGAGAGGCCTGTGGGCCAAAGCATGGAGGGCTTGCTGGTGGTCTATGGAGGAGACAGGGAGCAGTGCCAGAGAGTGACCCTTCTCATTCTCCCCTGCTTTGGGTGTAAGAAAGCACAGACCACAAGGAAATAATTTTGAGAAAAATAGTTCCTCAGGGTGATGATCATGCTTCAAAGAGCAGAAGTGTTTCAAAATTTTTTGTGCTTGTTAACCTAAAAATGCAAGACAATGTTGCTTTGCTTTTAGATCAAACATTAAATGACTGTGGAGCTGTTCCTGGTTCACTAATATACCATAAAGTGTCCCAGACTCTGATAGCTCGTTGCAAGGTGAGTTTTCCCATTTATTTTATGTTTACTGTCTCAAATATGAGTTTTTTAATATTTTTGAGTTAGATAAATTAATTATCCATCGTTATTCATTAAAGTGGTTTAGATTAGCATTAGACTTTTTATTGGTACACTGACAGACTTTTCACTTGGAAGCAAGAATTTGACTTGTAATTTAAACATGATGACATTAAATGTGTTCTGTAAGCCAACCTAGTGACACCTAAAGATCATAATTTGAAGCTATGGAAGAAATGTCCTGCCATTTATTTTTTGTTTTTACTTTTAGGAAGGTTGGGTTGGAATTAAAACAGTTGTATTAAAGAAGAAGCTAACAGCAGCTGACTTCTACAATGGATATATGCACTCTTGGTTCCAGCAGAACTCCAGAGCAGTTCATCAGGAATGCAGGTTTCAAACACTCAAACTTAGCACGACAAAAAAGACTCTGAAAGGGAGGGAGCTGTTGGCACAGGATGTAAAACAATAGATTTATTTTAAAATGTGGAAGAAGATGTTTCTAAGTTCACAGTAATATAAAATACTTCAACGCCTACCTAGAACATTCAACTTATTTAAGGACTTTCCTCCCAAAGTGGCTGATCTTGCAGTCATCTGCATGTTTTCGTCGTGGGTTCCCAGTGATCCTCATTTCTCTCTCCCCATCAAGGAAGAGAATCTCTTTGAATGCTGAGGATAGTGAATAAATTCCTGTTTCCTCTGTTGGGTAATAAATTTATTTTTAATACAATGTTTTCAATTTGCCTTTGAGGACCTCTGGTATAATTTTCTTTGAGCACAGGTTGTGCAGTTACTGGAAATGTTAAAAATCTGTGCTTCTCTTAACTCTTGTGGCTTCACAAAAGTGAGATTCCAAGGACAGAAGCCTGTTGCATTTCCAAGTAATTTGTCAGCTGTCTTCTCACCTTTGATAGGATGTCTGGCAAGAGTATCTGCAGTGTTTTCTTACAGCTTTACAATACTTATCCATGGAATATTTTCTGGTTATGGGATTTGTCTGGGATATCTGCCCTACCTTAGAGTGTCATGCTCACTGAGATTCAGGTTGCCCAGTATGATTTTCTTCCAGTTCTTAATCCCTCTGAAGAAGTTTGCAGTTGACACTGAGGATGGAGGGAGGTCTTGTCATGTGGAATGTTAGAATCATTCTCGGTTAATGGAAAGTTAAATAAAATTGATCTTTTTCCCTTTTTTTTTCCCTCTGCTCTTAGTCCAGTGATCCTTCCCAACTGCTTAATTACATGTCTTCCTGCATGTTCTCATTGTATTGTCTGAATCTACTGGCATATTCACTGTGCTGGAGTTTAGTTTCAATAAGTCTCAGATTTAGAAAATGGCTAATCGAATATTCCCATTTTATTCTACTCTGAGGTACTATTTCAGTCTCCCATGAATGTCAAGTGATTGGTTTTAGTCACCTGCATGTGATGTGAGCACATTGTTTTGCCATCTTTTACATTCAGAAAAGAAAAATTTACTTGGTGTATTTGCTGTTCAATGCAGGTGACTTGTTTTAATCTCATTGATTGTGTTTCTCATCTAGAAACTTGTCATTCACCTTGTTCTGTAGTTTCGTACCTTTCCCATTGAATCCTGTCCATTGCCATCTCTTCCTGTTTGTTTTCATATCTCAGGATGTATCCCACTTAGTATTTGTGAGTCATCCCTCCAGAAGAATTGTCCTACTCTCATATTTTCTCTCAGATGAGAGAGGTTTTTACCTGAGATCTAATCTAAGCTTTTCCTCAACTTGCTGTTGAGGCGCAAATAGAAAGGAACATCTCATGGGAAGAACCCCAAAACTGATGACTTACTTTCTTATCTTAGAATTAATATAGCACTGAGAGGATTACAGCAAAGAAAGACTGGTCAGATCTTAGGAGCTGTCCCAGTGTTACTTGCTCAATTTATTCTGAACTGAAATTTTTCTGAGCACTACTGCAGTCAAAGCAAAGCCACTGGAGCTGTTCACATGTGGGGAGGCACTGTTCTGTTGGCTTGATATTTGCAGCATTATCACTGAAATTTTGGAAGCCTCAAAGGGAACAAAACAAGGAACAAATTGCAGGGGTTGTGTAGGGGCGTGTTACACTGGTTCTGTTTTGCTCATGGCTTTTCCACTCTTCCTTTTGGCTCTTCAGGCTTCTCAGTGCATTCCTGTCTTTTCAGGCACTCGTGTCTGGAACTTAAAGCTTAAGTCAAGTGTTGAATTGATGAGACATACCAAGGTGGCAGGAGCTTGATGTGCTTGAGTGTGACTCAGTGAATGGAAGCAAACAAAAAGATCTAGAAAAACGTGTTACATAACAGGCATTAAAACGTTTCTGAAGAAGCATCTGTTAAAGCAGATGCTGCTGTATTTTTCTTCCTTTACCATTGGTCCAACAATTAATCTGCCTCTGACAGGTTTTTCAGAACACATGATCCTCCAAGAAATCCAACCCTATGAATCAGCATCAAAAACTGGAACCAAGAGTAAGGTGGAAGTCAGGCTCCTGTGGTACATTCCTCTTGTCTCTGACCACAGACCCAAGGGCGCAGTTTGTGCTGCAGAAGCTATAAAACCAGCAAGTTTGTTTTCCAAGCACAGGATGTATTTTTGTGCTTTGCTCTTCCACCTACTGCTTGCCAAGGTTGTGAGGTCATTTTACTTTTAGTCAGATTGCTCTGTGAAAGGTTTGTTACCACCTTATGCCGACTGAAAGGATAATGGGTGGGGTTTTCATGGGGATGCTAGGTGGGTTTGGGGGGTTTCTGGGGTTTGTTTCATCACTGGTCTCAGTTGCATGGCTGCTTGCCTTGTGTTATCCCAGCTGGAGCTTCTGGGAATCAGTTATTTTTAAAGAACACTCATAGGCATCACCAGAATTCAAATATGCAGTGTCTGCTGAGGGTAAAAACTTTATAGAAAAAGTTTCTTCTCCATAGATGGGATTTTTTTGACATGAATCAGCTGCATGGTGGGAGTTTGGCCTCAGGCATGGGTTGTATCAGAAGCTGAATTAGCAGAGAAATGAGTATACAAAAATAAAAGGCCACTCTAAACCCCATCACCACAATTTATAGATAATTTTAAGCAAAAATGACAGAGAATGTTGGACTTCTGAGAAATGTTAGTCATGTTAGCATGGGTGGACCCAACTTTTCTGAGGCACAAGGTCCCTGGGCACCAAAGAGACCCTGCAGGGTAATTTGTACATCTCGCTCAGAATTCTAGATTACACCTTATGTGAGGTGTGTTGCTGTTGGTCATTGCTGGCAGTAATTTCAGTTCTAATTAAAGCATAAAGCAACAGTGAAGAG